CGCGAGGGGAGGTTTCAACTACCACGGTGGAGGTTAAAAGTCGAGGGTATGTGTAACCTCCCCCTCGCCAGATGGTATGTTCTAGCGTTCCCCTTGGGCGGCAAATTCTAAAATTGACAGTCAGACTCTAACTGTCAGAGTCAGAATGCATGGGAAACAAACGCTTGATCACAGTGAGAGTAATGTTTTAGGTAGCAAGAGGGTTAAGGTTAGGATGAGGGTTAGGGGAAGGTTATAAATAGTGAAACGTTAAGGTTTAGGTGCGGTTAAATGAGCTGGTTCTGTGCCGCATCAGCGGATATCTCATCACGTCAGTTTTACGCTGCATTGGGATCTGCAGTTACAAAAGGGAAAAACCCCGTTTTCACACATAAGTAACGAAAAAGGGCACTTTTGGCGTCTGGGGTCTGACGTGGAGGGTGGCTGACCAAGCGTTTGTTTCCGACGCTTAGGGTGTGAGAATGTGTTGTGGTTACATGATGAGGTTAATCTAACTACCCCAAGCCAGGATTGCTGGGTCGTTAACCAACAACCGATCTAGGTTGGTGTTAATTCTCAGCGTGTGGGACGTGATCTTCTTAGTAACTTTTAAAAATGGTAGCTGGACTCGTGTTTATTGAAGACGTTTGACTCTCATCCAACAGGCTTCTTGTTCAAGATGAGAGAAGAGACATGTCCAGTAAATCAGATGAGTCTACTTACCTTTTTATTATGTTTTAATCACTTTACAAAAACACAATCCAGAAACTTCAAGAAGCCAAATACTGAACAGATGTGTTTATTCTGCTGCTCGGAGCTGCACAGGTGACCTTCTCGTCCATGAGGATTGTCTAGTGTCCACCAGTCAGTTCTGCAACATGGAGACTGTTTCTTCATGGCTTTCTATAAAATAAGTCTTTGAATCACTCTTAGTCTGACCCCTCACCTGAGGAAATTCTGCTACGGGAGACCCCACCTGGAGCCAACACCCTGACTAAACATCCTTCAGGATCCTGGGGGTACGCAAACCCACCCACCATGTTAAGGTGGTGATTCAGCGGATGGGATAAATTTAATTTTTGGTAGTTTTAAATAGGGGCTAACCCCCTTTGTAGCCAATTATTACCAAATAAACTCCTACACTATTATTCACTCTTGAGCTTTCCATGTTAAAGCTGGCCAATTGCTTAGAACTTGATAGGATTTGCAAATAAATGATTTACATCTTGCCCTTACTAGAATGAGTCAAATAAAATGTACTGATAACACACTACTACTTAGGTATGTATGTAAGTATATAAAGTATGTATGAATAAGTATAGAAGTGCCTCTTCACTCTCTGGTTTTAAATCTCTTTTGAAAACCAATTTTTATGATTTATCTTTTAACTCCGCATGAGAGTCTTTTAGTCTTTTTAGTGTTAGTTCTTAAGCTTTAGTTTTTATGTATTTCTATGTTGTGTTTTGTTTTTTAATGTTTTAATTTCTGTGAAGCACTTTGGTCGGTTTGATGCTGTTGTAAGGTGCTATACGAATAAAGCTGCCTTGCCTACTTGAAGCACACTCTAAATACTTTTTGATAAGAGACTGTTGATCTGATCGTTCCAGATTGAGTCAGAGTCTGGAGATTTATCATTTTTCTATTGTGGCCAGTCACACCAGTTAACCACTCACTCACCCAGACATTTTAGAGTCACTAATGAACCTAAACACGTGTTTGTGGGGGAACCGGAGCGCCCGGAGAAAACCCACGCGTGCATGAGAGAGAACATGCTCTATCACACAGAGGGGTCACAGCTGGCATGTAAACCAGCAACCTCTGCAAGACGAAAGCACGACCATCTTCTAACATACAGCCCCGTTTTTTTCTAAAGGTGTGTGAATATTGGACGGTGGTTTGTGAAGGTGTGTGTGAGGGCAGGTAATTAGTTTATAACTTGTTCTTGTGTTTCCGCAGACACGCTGGAGTCATAAACTTTTTGAAGCGTGTCCACTTGTTTTGCTGCGGTTTGACTGTTTGTGGAACGGCTTCTTCAGATGGAGACTCGTTACTGTGGAGACTTTGGCTTAACTCCAGCGTTTCCTGAACGATTTCAGTCTGACAAACGTCCGTGTCCATCTGACAATCCTTGTCAGGATTTGTCTCCAGACTTTCCACAGATGGCTGTGGTTCTGGTGAATAAATCTCAGAACCAGGTTGGATCTCAGACCTGAGATGTTCTTTAAGCTGCAGTTTTAGGGTAACTAATTCCTCTTCATGCTGCTCTTTGAGTTTCTGCAGCTGTTGAACAAACTGCTGGTCTGACTCGACTTTCTCAGAGACGTGTTTGATCATCACATCTCTGAGTTCAGAGTTTCTCTCCTTCAAATCCTGGATCTCCTGCTGGAGATCTGAATTCTCAGAGACAAGAACTCTGGTATTGTCGAGTTCAGCCTGACGGCTCACCCTCAGCTGCTGCTCTTTGTCTAAACTTGATTTAAGTGTTTGACAAAGAGCAGATTTCTCTTCTAACTGCTGATTAAACACTTCCAGCTGCTGAGTCATCTTCTCCTTCACCTCGATTTTTGTGGAGTTAAGACTCTCCAGAGCTTGCACAAGGCTCTTCTTTGGTTGTCCAACTTCCTCTTTTAAATTCTCAGTAATTGCGTCTTTGCTCTGACTGTTTTGCTGCTCTTGAGCTAACTGGACTCAGCTGTTTTAAAGTCTTCTGCAGATCTTCACATGCAGTTTCTTTGTTCTGAAACTCGATCTGTAAACTCTTCATTCTTTTTTCACGGGTTTCTGCATTATTTTGATAGTAATCCAGTCCCTGCTCTAATTCCCAGATTTCGTTCTTTAATTTCTGATGACTTAAATCTTTTTTCTGGTTCTTCTTCTCCTGTTGTAACTGGACTCTCAGCTGCTTCTCCTTAATAAAAGACGGTTCCAGTTGATGACAGAGAGAAGATTTCTCTTCCAAATGGTGTTTCAAGGTTTCCAGCTGTGCAGACATCTTCTCATCTGCTTCCTTTTTCAAGGAGGAAAAATTCTCCAACCACACCCGATGAAAGGCTAACCATGGTAAGAACCCAAGGACCCACGGAGGAAAAAACCTCCTTCAAGAGGCGGGGAGGAATCACATCAGTAGGAGAACCTGAGGGTTTTAAGGGTTCCACGATCTCCCACAGGCAATCCAGAGTCAGTGGTTCACATTGACTAAAAGTTGAAGGGCAGCATCCTGCAGCAACCTGAAGAGGACATGCCAGTATCTGAGCTCTAATGTTCACTATTTTATCAATTAAAAAATGTCTAAAATGATTCACGCAGCCCCTGAGAGATCTCTATTTCTGCAGGTTGGTCGACATTGAGGACGTTATCTAAAACATTAAAAAGAACACGTGGTTTACTGCAGGCAGACTGAATTATATCAAAAGAAATTTTTGTTTGTTTTTTATCCGCTTCTGCCTCGTGTCGTTCTGGGTGTTCTGCATTTTGGGTCCTAACCTCCTGCTCTCAATGTGAAATTCAGTCCCCCAAACCCAAATCTCCCCCCAAATTTTGTAATTATCATATTGTATTAAATTATTTACCCACATTTCATATAAGAGCACTTCTAGTGCAGGTCAGCACTTTACTATCTTTGTCATTATTTAATTTAAAGGTGTGGCTTACTTGTTTATTCAATACATTTGCAGTGTTCTCTCATGTAAATCGGTGCCTTATGAATCATTAAATAAAAGCTATAATGCTCATGTTCTGAACATAATGCTCATGTTCTGCACATTTTTATTAATGATATGCACACATCTCACTTCTGATTGGCTAACAGCGCACATTCAGCCATGTTACAATCTTCATTAGTATAAACACGTGGCTTTCCCTCAAAATACAGAAAACGGTCTTAATGATAATGATTACCTTAAAACATGCTAATTCCACAAATGCCACTGCAGAATTCTGAACCTTCAAGCTTTCCGCAAAACAGCAATAGTGGCACCCTCAAGGGGCGACCCCATCTGGGCAGCCCCGTGAATATTTCTGGGGGTACCACTGGGCAACAGTGCTACAAACTTTGCGGCATTCAGAGACATGTGGTGTTACGGTAAGACTACTTTATCTCTGTTTTCTAATCATTCATTGATTTTGTATAACAAAGGAGAAAAGGTGAGGGGCAGCTGTAGCTCAGGAGGTAGAGCTGGTTGTCCAGAAATCAAAAAGTTTGCAGGTTCAATCCCAGCTCCTGCTAGAGAATGCTGCTGTTGTGTCCTCGGTCAAGACACATAACCCACCTTGCCTGCTGGTGGTGGTTGAAGGGACTGGTGTGCCAGTGTTCAGCAGCCTTGCCTCTGTCAGTGCACCCCAGGGCAGCTGTGGCTACACTGAAGCTCATCACCAGTGTGTGAATGGGTGGATGACTGATTGTGTAGTGGTGGCCTAGTAGTAGAGTGTCCACCCTGAGACTGAGAGTTTGGGGCTCAAATCCTGTACGGGTCATACCAAAGACTTGAGAACCAATGCCTCCCTGCTTGACACTCAGCAATAAGGGCTTAGATTACGCGTTTAAACAACCAAATAGTTCTGGAGCACAGCTGCAGCTCACGGGGATGGGTCACCAGTGTGTGTGACGATGACTTTGGGACTTTTTAACTTTACGAATACATGTCATTTACCATTTCAATAACTACTAAAGAAAGAGACACCAGAATACACATTTAATATATAAAGTAGAATTCCTGTTCGTGTTATACTGGTGAAACTCGAAAAAAAATAGAATATCGTGCCAAAGATAATTTATTGAAGTTTAATTATTTCAGCGAAAGAGGGTCCCAAACCAAGTACTGATATGCAATGCATGCTTTTACTTTTTTAGGGGTGCAACATTTCTCTATTTAAAATCCTTGTTTTATTAATTTCCGGCATTTTGAATTGGGAGATAAGCTGTAAGCCACAATTATAACAAATAAAGGCTTGAAATATCTGACTTTGCATGTAATGGGTACTTATTAAATCCCCTGCCACTAAACCTGCTTATAACTGTACTGTCGCTTTAAGAACCGTCACGTGACAGTCACATGACACGGAAAACCGTCCTTATTGTTCGAACGTGGATGTGTTTACAAGCTTGTCGTTTACGCGCTGCCTGCTGATTTGCCGTGTAAACAAACAGTTGAACGGTCCTCTTAAAGTCATAATACGCGCGTGCTCGCGTTCAAAGCGAGCTATGTCTGCTCTGCTTATAGGAATTCAAGACACAACTAAATGTCGCCAACAGGTATGTTTGTACCAACGATGCGTCATTTATTAAGATGCGTTTTATCTGCTTAGAACCGCGTTCTGAAGCAAAAACCGCGTTTAAAGGGTTTCTAAACGTGTTACGTCTGTATTTCAGAGCTGAACTGGTCTAAACATCTCGTTTTCTAACGTGACTATGAAGCAGGGGGATGAAGCTGCGAGTGTCCCTTCTTACTTCATATCCAGCCATGAGGGATTTCAGGGAAGCATCAAAAACTTCACTGAGGACTTTGTTGTGACTGAAATCGACATTAATGGGAAATATGTGAAAACATCTCAGGCCACAGAGACGCCAGGCTGTGCGTCCTCAGAGGAACACAAATCCAGTGTAGAGTTAAAGGAGAACATTAACTGTTCAGTCTCCCAGGATGGGGATGCTTCGTCAGAGTGGGGGGTGGACACCCCCCTGCCTAGTTTAGCAGGCTTTGATCTGGATATCATCTTGGGCCAGTCAGTCAGCGAAGATCTGGAACAGTTCGTGTTGACTCTCAGAGAAAAGAACCAAGTAGGGCTGGAGCTGTCTCTGGGGTCCTTCTCAGACAAACACCAGAGAGCCAACGTCCACCGGGCAGTCCGACACCGCTTCCCCTTCCTCATGACCGTCACCATTCAACCTGAGATCAGGGTGAGGGAAGACCCGGACTACCGAGAGCTCGCCCGGCTGGTTAAAGACGAAGAAGCAGAGGACTTCTTTAGGTTCATAGATGCCAAAGTCAGAGGATCGTCTTACACGTTTGGACCGGATGACAACAAGGAGCACAGGACAGCGGTCCACCACTTCCTGAACAAGCGGTTTGGGAAGCTGGTGGAGACGAAAAGCTTCAGCAGCCAGGGCAGGACAGCGATCTCTGTTCGGCTCAGAGAGCACGGGAAGCCAAAGAAGAGAACAGCAGAGGAACGCAAGGAGGAAGACATTTACACGGGTAAGGTGTAGAGTCACAGTTCTCTAACAGATGCTCGAAGGTTTGATTCAGATGTTTGGTTGTGAATTTAGCCAGATTTGAAAATACAAGGACCTTGATCAGTTGACTTAACCATTAATCCATAGCTGTGTTTGTTTTCCCAGCTTTCACGCTGTGCAAGGAGAACCTGGAGACTCTGGAGGCCATCAGCTACATGGCGGCTGCTCTCGGTGTCCTGCCATCAGATTTCACCTACGCTGGGACCAAAGACAAGAGAGCCATCACCTACCAGTCCATGGTGGTCAAGAAAGTCTCTCCTCAACGGTACTGCAGGGTCTCCTTTATAAGTCTGGTTGGTTTGAGCTTCAAACCTGACTGATAACGATACCACTTTGGTCTTAAACTGGTAGCTTTCCTTTCTTGAAGGCCACATGTTTGCTTTTTGATTAGTTTGAAAGAGAGGACGGCAGAATTTGAGAAGAGGGGAATGCGTCTGTCTCAGATCTGCTCCGTCAGCGAGCCTCTGAAGCTGGGACGGCTGCAGGGGAATCACTTTGACCTGGTGGTTCGAAACCTCAGACCTCACAGACCCGTTGACAAACGCTCGTCAGCGACGGACGTTCATGCTCACCTGGCAGCGCTCGTGAAGGAGGCGGTGGATAACACCCAGGTTGACAGATTTTTTAAAAATGTTTCATTTTGCTTTTGTTCTTGGTCCATGTGTCGAGCCAGCTACCCATGAGCAGATCTGCAGTTACATTTTACAACATTTTGAATTGTTTTTTTGGAAAATGAGTCATCTTGGTTGTTTGTGTTTGCAGAGGAATGGCTTTGTTAACTATTATGGACCACAGAGGTTCGGGGGTGGACAGAGCGTCCCATCTGATCGAGTAGGACTTGCCCTGCTGAAAGAGGACATGGTAGGAAACTAGACCGTCACAAATTTGGTCAAGAGTTTGGGACACGTCTTTGTTAAATAGGGGAGATTGGATAGATGATCATATTCTGATCCCATCCTCATCGCCAACGTTGCTGAAGTAGTACGAGTGGTCAAGCGAGACTTTTTCCCTTGAAATGAGATTTAGCAGCAGGAATGTTTGACCTCAGGTGGTTAAGAAAATAATCTGTGTGAGTCAGAGTTTATTAAGTGGCCTGTATTTGATATAGCGCCTTCTAGAGTCCCGGAACCCCCCAAGGCGCTTTACAACACAGTCATTCACACACACATTCACACACTGGTGGGGATGAGCTACGATGTAGCCACAGCTGCCCTGGGGCGCAATGACAGAGGCGAGGCTGCCGAGCACTGGCGCCACCGGTCCCTCCGACCCCCACCAGCAGGAAACGTGGGTTAAGTGTCTTGCCCAAGGACACAACGACAGACTGAGCGGGGCTCGAACCTGCAACCTTCCGATTACGGGGCGAGCACTTAACTCCTGTGCCACCGTCGTCCCTAAGCTTATGTGCAAATGGGGGTGGGTGATATGGAAAAAAAAATCACGATTTTATCATAATTTTTTCTATTTTGACAATTCAGACGTTTTGGGAGTTATTTACCATTAAAATACATTTAAAATCATACCCTTCACAGAAAATAGGGTCAAAGATTTCAGTATCCTAAAAAAATCTTCAAATTCTATCTATATCTATCCTGTCTGTCTCAACGATCTTATATCATCAGATCGCACGGCCCTATGTGCAAACACGTCAGTCTATCAGACCTGGAGTCACCCACAGGTTCTAAACTTGGTTTAGAATGTGATCATACATGTAGTCTGCTCTACTTAGTACACATGTGTGTGTCTAAATATGTTTTCACCACCACAGCAACCTCATTCATAAAGGTTACTATCAGACACACCCATCAAAAGCCTACGTTTAATGAAGTACGGCTGTTTTTAATGAATTAGTGCTTGTTTGTGGAATAACATAAAACACAAACCACACACACGTCTCTACTTAAAATCATGAGGAATTTTACTTTTTTGCTTGTGTTGGTCCCTTTTATTATTTGGCTCCTCTTTTTGTTGCAAATTTGCTGTAAGTAGTTCGAACAGGACCGCTACAAATACTTCACAATGCAAACAACGTTTTAGTCGTATTTTGAAGCCTTTATTATTTGGGCCAATCACAGAAACAAGTTGCGGCTTGCAGCCTCCATTATCGTTTTGTTCGTTTGTTCTGTGTTGACATGCTTTTCTGTGTCAGGTCAACGCCGTGCGTCTGTTCTTCACTCCAGAAGAAGGCACCGACCCTCAAAGCCTCGCAAAAAGACACTTTCTCCAAACAGGTGAACGAGTTAAAGTCGTTATAAACGATCAGGCTAAATATCTGTTTCCATTAATGATTTATTTTGTGCATTTTTTCCCTGTTTGCAACAGATAACGCTAAAGAGTCCCTGGCGTTGATGCCGCTGTGTAAGCCCAGGGAGCGTCTGATGCTTCGGGCGCTGAACCGTTACGGCAGCGGCCCGGATGGGTGTGTCCAAGCTTGGCTCAGCCTCCCCCACAGCATGAGAGTCTTCTACCCTCACGCCTACTGCAGCAGGTCAGCTGCTAATGAGAGTTTTCATCTATTTTTTTAAACCAGATTTAAACATCTAAATGTGATCTGTTTGCGTTGTGAGGGTGTGGAACGAAGCCGTGGCACACAGGTTGTCCACCATGGGTCATGGTGTCAAACAGGGGGACCTGGTGTGGACGCAAACTGAACAAAAACCAGAGAGCGGTGGAGGAACCGGCTCCTCTCAGGTAAGATGGTAAAATGTCATCACATTTCCAACAAGGCAGCATTTCATTTTTAATCCAAATATGGGTTTTAAATCATAAAACGTGACAGAAAGGTTTCAATTAGCAGAATAAAGTTTTGTATTTTCATCTCCAAGTGTTAATATTATGTTTTCTGTCAAATTACAATGACAAAAAAATCAAGTTTTTGATCATGGATTTATGGTTGGAATCAAATTAGTTGAAATAAAACTAATATTTGATGCTGGGGTTTACCAGCCTATTAAACATATTTGTATTTATTGCATGTCTTGCTGTGATTTCTCACAGATCCATGTGGTGACTCCGGAGGAGGAGCAGGCAGGAGTATACACACTAGGACAAGTATGGAGTTCCTTCTCCGTTTCTTTAAGTGTAGTCGTTTAGCTTTTAACCGATCGTTTTTTCTCTCAGGTGTTGTTGCCGATGCCAGGGAACTCTGTGAAATATCCAGAAAATGCCATGGAGGCTTGGTACCAGGAGAGGCTTGCCAGAGATGGACTGGCCGACTGCCGCTTTAGAGTCACCAGCCTCAAACTGAACCTGCCTGGCTGCTACCGCCCCCTGCTGGCAGGCCCACGCAACCTCAGCTACCAGCTGCAGAGAGACGATGGAGGAGGAGGAGGAGCAGAAGGTGAAACGAAGCAGAGTTCAGACTCGCTTTCGCTCATCTTAAACTTTGATCTGGACTCCTCCTGTTATGCTACCATCTGCCTCAGAGAGATCATGAAGTGGGACCCTTAAAGCTAAAGGAAACATTTCTCTTACTGGTTTTCTACTTGTGTTGTTGTGAGAAATCATAGTTTGGACTTTGTTTTTGTACCAGGAAATAGTGTGGTCACACAAAAAAATAATAATTATGTGCAGTTGATGAAGTTTGTGCTAAAAAGGTTGCCAAATGTGAAGACATTTAAATGTAGACGAGTGTTGAGTTTGTCCTTTGTGCTGTCAATAAAAATAAGAACCCAACTTGTATCTTTGCTATTTTGTGGAGGTGTACCTGTAATCATCACCTCTTGAGTTTGTAAAGGCTTAACCTTAGAAGCACTCCCAACAAGAGAAAGGGAACTTGAACAAAAATATTTTGTCTTGTTTTTGAGGTTTTTTACAACAGAAATTACGGATCATCCAGGGTTTCATCTGTCAATTGCATAAAGGCTGAGGAAAGCCCTTGCTGTTTGGCTTCAGAGGTAGATAGATGTGCATTTTTAAAATCACATATGTAATACATAAAGAGTAAGCCTAAGATGGAGCCTTGGGGGACACCAGAGGTAAGTTGAGAATTTAAAAGAAGCTCCAACTTTCCATTCATCCATTTTCTTCTGGGGTCGGGTCACAGGGGCAGCAGCCTGAGCAGAGGCCATGACTTCCCTCTCCCCAGCCACTTGGGACAGCTCTGGGAGATGCATAGTCCCTCCGGCGTGTCCTAGGTCTTCCTTTTGGTGGCTTACAGACCAGGTCTCTGCTTTTTGCAGATGATGTGGTCCTGTTGGCTTCATCAGGACATGATCTCCATCTTTCACTGAAAAGGTTTGCAGCTGAGATGAGAATCAGCTCCTCTACATCTGAGACCGTGGATTTGAATCGGAAAAGGGTAGAATGCCTTCTCCAGGTCAGGGACGAGGTCCTGCCTCAAGTGGAGGAGTTTGCAGTGATGCAGGCGTTGTACCGCTCTGTTGTGGTGAAGAGAGAGCTGAGTTGGAAGGCAAAGCTCTTAATTTACTGGTTGATCCACATTCCTACCCTCATCTATGGTCAAACGCTTTGGGTAGTGACCAAATGAATGAGATCATGGATGCAAGCGGTAAAAATAAAATAGTTTCCGGGTGTCTGAGCTCTCTCAGGGTGAGAAGCTTGGTCATCCGGGAGGGGCTCAGAGTAGACCCGCTGCTCCTCCACATCAAGAGGAGGCAGTTGAGGTGGCTCGGGCATCTGGTCAGGATGCCTCCTGGACGCCTCCCTGGTGAGGCATCCTTGCACGTCCAACCAGGAGAAGACTTAAAGGAGAAGCTCTGGCTGAATAAATAGAATTTAAACCACCAGTCAAATAATCTTTTAAAAGACTGACAGAATTTTAAAAAAAGGACACAAGACACAGAATAAAAACACAAGGTTTTATAGCAGCTCTAAAGTCTGGTGAACTATCCACACCTGAATTCCACTCAGAAACTGAAGGGTGGAAATGCAAACAAACCAATGAAAAACGGCCATTTGTGTTTTCACTACTAAAATTTAGCCATAAAAGTGAAATAATTCAACTATCTCATGTTTTTTTTTCCTTTTTTGAAGGTTTTTTTCTCCATATTCCATTCCTAAACATTTACAAGAATCCAACGAAAGAAGCAAAAGGACGTCATCAGAAAATCTTTTGTGGATGTTATGTCCCCAAATGACCACCAGATGGAGACATTACACAGAGATTGGCAAATCACTTAACTTGTTTTTGTTCATCTTGAGATGAATGTTCCCTAAGCTGGGAGAAAACAGCGCCTGCATTACATTATTTAAATCATATTAAGTTGCTAATTCGTGTCGACCCTCTCTCCTGTCAATGCAAATCTGTGGCCCAGTGAGAGGGTTATGTTAGGATCCAATAAAGTGCAACAAAGCATGAGACTGTGGTGTAATTATGCTGTAGAGGGGGTAGCTCTGGATCTGCTTTAGCAAATTAATCTACGTGTGACAGATTTATGGGTTTCTGACAACACCATATAAACACCCTCCATCATTAATAACTTACACTGAAAATACTTCAGAAGTTTGGAAAATACCCATTTACTGTGAGCAATATGAAGCGTGAGCTGCTGCAGAGGGTGTTTTAGTTTGAGTTGGGTTCAGACATGCAGCCTGTCATCAAACTAAAGCAACATATGATTAATATCATGCCTGCAAGCTAAACTGTCTGCCACTGAGACACATTGGTAATAATGGGTTTCTTCACTCGAGTTTTGGTACAAAAGATGCATTTTATCTCTAAAAAAGTGATAACTGATGCCTGAAACTTATCATATAAGTTACAGCCTGGGCTAAACTGTTGATAATACACAGGTTCAAGCACATTGGTCTATTTTTACACCACAAGCAGAAAAAGACTATATTTATGTCAGTTTTAATTCATCTTCACGGGCAGAAGTGACTTCTCCGCCTGGAGCTGATTCCTGGTCCAGCCTGATGAATGTCGACCCGTTTTAGCAGCAAAGAGGACACATTTCTTGCACGTCTCAGAGCAAAAGCCTGGGAATGCAAAAGAGGTCAGGAGTTCTGAACAACGTTTACCATCAGTGGACAGTTTCTCCCAGCCAAGAGTTGGAGGTGAGGGAGGCCAACATTGTTTTGTTTTATCATAGCAGACATGTTCTCTCAGTCAGCTTGGTGAGTGATGACTTTAGCTTTTTGCTTCACTCAGTTGTATGAATAGTCTGCAAAATCTTATTGGTTAATGTGCAGAAAATTAATTCTAAACTTTGTTTTTGCATCATAAAATAAATCTGCAAAGCTGCTGGTGTGGGACGGCATCAAAAAAGACCTTTGTTAGTTTTTTAATGTGAGAAAAGCATGTTTTAAGCTTATAAAGCAGGCAGAAGTCTCCAAGGAGATGTCCATAATAACATTATGAGATTCTGGATGTGCTACTGGTTGAGCTACAAGAACATTTCTTGAAGAACTGCACGAGTGTTACTAAGGAAGACATGTGGCACAAACATCAAGGATCAGTAGCGCGTGATTAGTGAAAACCTTCTGGTGACCTTTGACCTGTCTGAGCTGCCTCCACTGATTGGCAGTTGGTGCCTTGAACTCGTGCAGACGCCAGTGAAAACCTGCGTCTGCGCCTGAGGAAGACGAAGTGTCTGCGAGTGTGTGTTGTTGGTTTTAGGTCCTGTCAGCCGCGATGAGCCACCATTGATGTGGCGATGTGTAAACAAGGTGGATGTGTTGTTTTTGTTTGTTTAGTTGCCACGCGAGACAAGAATTCTGCTGTTTCAGATTTGTCTTGCGCTTCAGGAGATTTTTTAGCTTAAATTTGATTAAAAATTGTTGGCTACAAGGCTCAGCTCTTATTAAAACCAGATTCAACGAGGTTTTTACTACATGCAATTCAATTTTAAAGTAGGCGAGTCGGGTTTTTGACAAACGAAATGATTGCACTCATGCAAACGTCATCTTTATTGGTCATCATGAAACTGTGTCATTCGGCAGTGAAGCCATCAGAACTCTCTGCATCCCAGTGGCGGCTTTGCTTACCCATTTCCAGTTAGTCCGTGTCCCACATGTGAGAGGGCTGCATGTGGAAAATATACTGACCCGAAAACTGCAACTGATGTATTGACAAACGAAAAGGAGAGAAAGGGGTGTGTGAGTGTGTGTGTATTGAGTGAGATCGATGAGTTGGATTAGTGCTGCAGGATTTACTGGTTGTTGCACATCCAGAATGGCTTTCGGCTACAAAGGTTGGTGCAGGAACATAACCACATGGTTATAAACTCGTTTTTTTATTTAAAAGATGCATAAAGCAGAATCAGTGTTGACAATAGAATCCAAATAATGTTTCTATCACGTGCTGATTAAAGTTTGAGGATGTCCAGGTTTGTTTTTTTATTGTTTTAGCACCTGCAGATCTAGCTCCAAAGACCGATCATGATTTCATGCGGTTCCCTTTAAGCTGGAACATAAGTTTTATAACCGTTAGTCAAATTCCACAGCTGGCTTCAAATGAACCCCAGATCCAGAGCGGTTTCATAAAAAAGCACATAAAACACCTGGCTGTTTAAAATACTAGAACTGATTGGGGTTTATTTTTGGACATGTTAAGTCACTGTACCCAGAAAAAAAAGCTACATTTCCTGCACTGTTAGTGACCCAAAATACAACCTGACTTCACCACAATCCTGCTGGTGTGCTCCCAGAAAGTGTTCAACTTTCTGCACACGAGCTATTAACGACTCGTTTGCCTAAACTGAGAATTTTTCTCACACTGTAAATGTTAAAGGGGGGAAAAACCTGTTAAACCTCCACTTGGAAACACTGAACACTTTGTGCCAGAGCAGAACAATCTGTTGACTGGATACACAGTGCAGAGAAGTGAAGGCTCATTATTTTTAATGGTGCCTTTCTGCTGTTCGAGAGCTCTCTGTCTTCAAACTGCTACAGTGAGCTATTATATAGCATTTAATAGTGGGTTTAACAAAGACATAGGGCTAACATATGTGTCACCATGCAGCCATACTTTTACAGTCAATGTTTTGATTACATGTGCATTTTTTATTTTATGTGCACTTGTGAGTTGATTGTTTAATGTGCAACAGATTAAACGTGCAAATTTGCTACATAAATCAAAATGTTATGCATCTGATATTTTGCAAGTGCAGCTCAGGCCTGGTTGCAAAAATAGAAGTACACACTTAGATGTTTTCACACTCTGCTTTTATGTTTAAAAAAACCACCAGGTAGTGGTCAGTTGACAGCTCCGCCCCTCTCTTCACCCGAGTGTCCAAGACATGCGGCCGCAGGTCAGATGAAACAACAACAAAGTCGATCATCGAGCTGCGGCCTAAGGTATCCTGGTGCCAAGAGCACATATGGACACCTTTATGTTGTCACATTATGAGGATGGTTTGGACCCAAAAATGCAGATACCCAGGATGACACGAGGCAGGAGTTGATATGTAAAGTAAAAATCCTTTTACTGGAGGAAGAACAAAAATAAATCCAAATGGCAGCGAGCCAAAAATCCAAAAGTCCAGAAGAACAAAAGCTCACTTACAGCACAGAACTGGGACGAGGTACAAAGCTCGCTGGAGTTTTTGACAATTAAAATTGCGCCCACATTTTCAAAGTTAAACACATCTCTTTTAACAACGGTAGTTTCTGCATCTATACTGCTCCACTTCAGCTCTCTCCCCCCTCCCCATGCGCAGTGCGCCTGCAGCCTTTCGGAGTTCCTGCTGCTCTAAACATTAAAATAATTATTTCATT